TGCTATCAGAGGACGATGATGCCTCTACTTCCGTCGATCTCTTCACTGAAACCTACTCTGTCACCTTTTCCACTTCTCGCCGTTACCACCATCCAAACAACCACCATTGCTAAAGGCTTGTTCGTACCACCGTCCATCCGCTGTCTCCGGAAACTTCCTCCATCTCAGATCTACCACAATATCTCACATCAAACACCAAAACCTTCTCGAGACACACACAATCTCTAGGGTTTCAAATCAATGATACACAGAAACATATGTAAATATAGTGAGAGAACGTGTAGACATGGAAAAAGTTTTTTTTTTTTGGGTGTATCTGCTTTGCTTTCTCTCTCTCTTTAGTTCAAAAGGCAATAGATGTGTGTTGTGTTCTATCTCTCTAGACTAGAGAGTGCTTTTAAAATCTGCATCAAGATTGTTAGCTATTCTCTCTCTAAAAAATGAGTTTGTGTGTAAAGAGAGAGAGAGTGTTAGCTGTTTGAATAGAAATATAGAACACTGCTCTGCATCTTTTCACTTCAACAAATACGAAAAAACAACCCTAGGTATCCATTTTTGTGTTTTAATTCAATTATTTGTTGTTTGATTACTTTTCTACTCAAGGAATCGCTCATTATTAGATTGGTTGTTGTATGAAAGATTTCCCAGAATTTCTCTGTGAAATCCAAGAGAATTTCTTTGGGAAGTAAACCACTTAATATTGGATTGGTTATTGTATGAAAGATTTTGCAGAATTTCTTTGTGAAGTCTAGAGAAATTCTTCGAAGAGAATTTATTTGAGAAGTGAACCACTCAATATTGGATTGGTTGTTGTATGAAAGATCTCCCAGAATTTCTCTGTAAAGTCTAGAGAAATTCTTCCCATAATTTCTCTAGAGAGAATTTCTCTCGGAAGTGAACCACTCAATATTGGATTGGTTGTTGTACGAAAGATCTCCCAGAATTTTTCTGTGAAGTCCAAAGAAATTCTTCCCATAAATTCTCTGGAGAGAATTTCTTTAGGAAGTGAACCACTCAATATTAGATTGGTTGTTGTATAAAAGATCTCCCAGAATTTCTCTGTGAAGTCTATAGAAATTCTTTCCATAATTTCTCTAAAGAAAATTTCTCTAGGAAATAAACCACTCAATATTGGATTGGTTGTTACATGAAAGATCTCACAGAATTTCTTTGGAGAGAATTTCTTTGGGTCCCAGAATTTCTCTGGAGAGAATTTCTATGGGAAGTCTGGAGAGAATTTCTCTACATCGAATTTTCCGTTGATCGATATTGGGAGATTTTAGACATTATGAAAATATTGAATGTCCTTTATGCTATAAAATCTTAATACCAAGGACCCTAAAAAAAATCCCTGATTTGGTATCGCTCCATCACCACAATATTACTCTTTTTTTACTTTGGTTTTGTTTGTTTTTGTTTAGCCAAAAATATGAGAGGGGACAATTATCGCAAGACAAGTTGAGGAACAATTAGCTTATAATAACTTTAGTGCTCTTTAGTGCAGCTTATTGTAAATTAAAAACTAATAATCTAAAAACTGAACCCAAAACCAACATTAACTCAACTTTCAGAAGTCAATTTTTTTTAACTTGTTTAAATTATTTTTGCCTAATAAGTTACAAGTAAAAACTGTACCAAACAGCGTACCATATATTTCAAAAAAAAAAAAAGAAAGAAGAACAAGCAGCTCAAATTAGTCTCTAATTATGATCACAGGGGCTCTTATCTATTAGGATCATATTTGTTTGAATATTAATATTCATAGAATTTTAAGTTCGAGATTATCAATCATTTTGAATTACATATCATATAACTTATGTGTGAATGGAAATTAACAAAATTGATCAATCTCGTAATTTGACCAATTAATCTAAGATTTTAAAAAGCGGCTATAACCATTACGTAATAGTTGTGGTGGTTATCACCACTTGTTACGGTTGCTATAGCGGTACGACAAAATTCACAACTATAACGGCCGCAATCATTACATAAAGGCTATAATGGCCATTACATTATTGCTATAGCACCGTTATGACCGTTACAACCGCTACGCTTCTATTTTATAAATTTTGCATATAATGCTTATTTCTCTTTTTATTTTCTAATTACATAGAACTGAAGTAAAAATATTATCTATATATGTTTTGAATGTTTATTTTACTCTAGTTGAGTTTGAACTTGAGTTTGAAATGACAAATGAAACTTAAATTAATATGCACATTAAAAAAATGAAATAAAGTAAAAAATAATAATAAGAAGAAGAAGAAGAAGAAGAAGAAGAAGATTACAAACAAAATATAAAATATTGCTCATATGATTAATAAAATTCATCAATCAAATATATAAAAAGAGAAAACACCAAACATAAAATAGAAAAATAAAATAAATTAATAAACATATATTTTCTATATTATTAAAATAAATATTAATTAATGTATAATTATGTTCACGAGTCTATTCAAATCAAGTTTGGATCAACTTGATTATTAAACAAATTTAAAAATATGGTGAGTAGAGTCCAAAAAAATAACAAAATAAGAGCAATCCATGCTTACCCTGTCACTTGATATAACAAGCCTCACAAATCATCCTGTCGTGCAGTGGCCTAACGTTGTATGGCGTTTCTAAAATGCTCCCAAATGGTTTTTTTATTTGCTGGTTGGCCATCCTTTGTAGACTCTCCACCCTTGACAGAGTTAAGAACTAGGGACTCACTCAAAATATGGCTTGTCTGCTTTGCAATTCTGCTAATGAAAATCATGATCATATATTTTTTCAATGTAGACATGCAAGCAGTCTTTGGAGGGGTGTCATCTGAATATGGAGGTCTCATTTGGAAACATATTATTTTAATAACTTTTTAATTTTTTACGAAAAGATGTACAAAAAAGTAAAGAGAGTAATATAACAACTTATAATGACTCTTTAACTTTTTGACTAAAATACTTAGTTCCCAAACATAACCAGATATGCATCAAATGGTTTCCTGAGAAGTGCATAATAGGCAGGGCAAGAAATTTAAACACAAATTGTTCAAGCTTTCTTTTTGCGTTCCGATTGCTCCAAACCAAAGCAAAGCCTGTACTTACAAATAGAATCATCATTCACCATTTAAAGGAATGGTCATTCCACATTCCACCTTCATTTTAGTGAACCAAAAACTAACTATCAATAATAATATCTTTAACTTAGCTGTTTGATTTACACAACTTGTCCATATATACTCACTCAAATGCACCATATTCAAATGTCTAAAACAACTAAAATCACTAAAATGGATGTATTAGCAATGATATTATCTTTAAAGATTTTACATTAATTTTCACATACACCACCACTCTAACTTGATGAATGCACATATATATACATAAATTTACAGAAATCTCTATTGTTTTTTCCCTTACCCTTTAAAATATCCGTTATCTTTATTTGACCCTTACTTGCACATGTGAGAATATTATGTAAATTACGGAAATATATCAATTAGGTTATTTGTGAATATTCGATTGATTGTCGATTGATTGTATATTCGATTGATTGTAGATTGATTGTATAGGGTTATTTCCTATTATAGATTAGGTTTCGGATTGCTATAAATATTGGTTGTAATCTTTGTATTACTTACATTCGAATAGACAGAAAAGCTTTCAGAAAACTTACAACACAAAGTAGGATTGGAGATGGAAGTGGAAGTGGAAGCAGAAGCAAAAGCAGAAGCAGGAGTCAAGGCAGGGTAGTGAGGGCATAGAAAATTTTTAAGTTTGAGAGCACCTATGGGAGCTTGTAAATATTTTATAGGTTAAACATATAAATATATTCTAAATTTTTTTTTTTCTGCTTAGTTGTAATATATATGTTAAATATGAATAAATATTAGTCATTTATCTCAATTACAAATTGACTTTATTAAGTATAAATTAATAACATACAAATAAAAATTGCTACAATGAGTTTAAGTTATTTTTCTTTTATTTCCGTGATATTTGTATCATTGAGAGGGTTCTATCTCTTTGGAGTGAGTATCTTACTCGAAGGGAGCGTGGAATCATGTTTCTAACTAAGGAACGCCGCCCAAGTAGGAAATTCCTGCAACTAAGATTTGACCCCAATAAATCATTAGGACCAATTAATTCGTGTTCCATTTAAGGGGCCCAAGCAAGCTAAGTCCACATTTGTTAAGGCTGGCACATATTCTTGTAAGCTTATAAAAATCAAAGGAGAAATCACTCTATTCATTTCCAAAAGAAATATAAGATTCTATTTTGTTTTCATTGGTATAATTTGTTTCAATGTAGTTTCCAAAGCCAAATATGTTTCCAGTCAATCTCATTATTTACTCGTAACATTTATTTTGGGTAAATCATTTCAGGATTTCAAGAAACCATCTTATTTTTGTTGGCTTTTAATTATTATTTGGAAGTAGGGGTGGGAATTTGTGACAAGACACGATAACACGACTCAAACCGTACACGAAATTAGCGGGTTAGAGTTGACCATTTCCTAACACGAACATGTATATGACACGACCTGATAACGGGAACATTAAACAAGTCGAGTTAGTGTCAAATCTATATAACATGAAACTAACACGGATAACCCGTACAATATACAATTAGTTACACATTTTAATATTATTTTCACTAAAGAGTATCATTTCATTTTTTTATCTCTTTCGTAATTACATCAAATTTATTAAGAAGTATGTATAATACGATTTTAAGTTTAATATAGGTTTTGTTTTGCTTTTAATTGAATTTAATGTATTTTTTGTCTATTATTTGAGTTAGTCTAGTAAAAAATATAATAATAAAATATAATTTTTATAAATTAAGAAAATAAAATTAAGTTAGGATTAAATATTTTTATAAATAATTTCATTTAATGGAGATTAGTTTCATTAAATTTAGTGAAGAAATTTTCAAACTTTTTCACATATTTGATATTTTTAGTTAATAGTGAAATTTGTTAGCATGACACGTTAAGACAACACGAACTGGACATGGACCGAAAATGACACAACACAATAACATGAAATAATAATTATGACAAATCCGAAATGACACGACACGAACATGACCCAACACGACACGACACCTACCCCTATTTGGAAGTATGGTTAAGCCCAAATAAATACAATAAAAGTTGCAATTCAAATTGACAGTTGAATTGAAAAAGGTCCCATCTTATGGTTAAGCCATCCATAAATACCATCTTATTTCTGTTGGCTTCATCAACTTGCATACTATAATAAACCATTGGGAGTGATTTGGAGTGCCAAACAACCCCACCTTTTCTGTTTGTTGTAAAATAATGTGAGGCCCCTTGTGATGCCAATTGTCTGGACTCTAACAATACCTTCTGTATAAGTGATCAATGAAGGATTAACAGCTGCAAGAAGGGCTGTCGGATCATGAAGATAAACACCTACATCAAGTCCAAAACTACCATCAATATGTCAAATGAAAAGGTTCTACCATTTAACTGGGTTCTATTTTCATACCAAAAAATAATAATAATAAATAAATAAAATAAAAAAAAACCTTTCATGCAGTAAGAATCGTGATGATACGAAAAGTACACATCTAAGATCTTGCACAGGTAATGAGCAAATTTTCCACCAGATTGTGCCAGCTTATCACGATCAGTATCTACCATGCATAGAAATTGGCAAAAGTTAGGTTTAAGGGAAGAAGAAAACAAACATAAATTTTGGCCATGTGGCATATGTAAACACAAATATATACACAAATGGTCTTAAAGCCTATATATGGCTGTTTTCTACCTGTCCCATTACATGTGCCTTTCCAAACCAGTCTATTTGTGGCAATTAAATGAAATTATGGTATTAAACTTTAATCAAAGGTCAGATCACTTCCAACATTTTGTATGTACTTGCTGCAATACATTCATGATGGTACCCATATATCTCAAGATTTAATTGGTTTTTAGTTTGGAACTCTTAGGAAAGAGTAAAATTTGACAGTTCTATTATTGATCCACAAAAATAATAGAGTTAAAAGAAGATAAAAAAACTTGACTGATTGAATTCTAAGGCCAAGAGGGTGTTCGCGGATCGGATTTGTGCGGTTTGCGGTTCGGTTTTGACCCGCCCGCATCTATGCGGTTTGAAAAAAAGTCAAACCGCAACCGCCCGCAGTGCGGTTTGTGCGGATAGGGTTTGCGGATGGGCGGGCGGTTTGCGGTTTGCAGTTTGAATTTTTTCTTTAAAAATTAACCTAGATATTGTTTAATTTTATCTTCACACACACTGAGACTACCTACAGATTGAATGGAATTGTCACTTATGTCACCCATCAGTTTAACATCCATGATTTGCATAGTTTATATTTTGTAATATGAGAGCATTGTGTTGATCAAATATAAAAATCAGTTCAAAAAAAAGGTACTCTTTTTTTTTTTTGGATAAATAAGATAAAAAAAAAATACTTTGAATCATTTAAATCATTAACCAAAGTGCAACTTAGGTAAGACTAGAAGTCAATTAAGTAAAACAAATACAAAACATATAATGGAAGTTGTAAATTCTTCCAAGTAAATGAACGGCTAGGGTTTTTCGAAAATATATATATATAGTGCGGGCGGTTGTGGCGGGGGGGGGGTCAAACTCGCAACCCGGGCGCAAACCACAAAATTGAATTATTTCAAACCGCACCCTACCTTATTGCATTTGCGAAACCGCCCATACATGTGCGGGTAGAGTCGGGTAGGGCGGGTTATGCGGATCGAATAACCCTATGCCCAGCCTAAGAACTTAAGAGGTTGTTTAGGGTGTCCTAAATAAGTGCACTTTTTGTCTTTTTAAACTAAAAAGTTGAGAAAAAAATATGGATGTTTGGGTTAACTTTCTCTTTTTACGAAAAAATGTGTAATAAAAAATTGTATAAATAAAGTGTATAGTGGAAGAAAACTAATTGATTGTACGGCTCTCCTGCGGCTGCGTAGCATGTTTCCACAAAAATAATTGCCTCCTTCGGGGCAAATAACTTTTGGACAGTGATAGTCGGTCTGTGGGGGCCATCATGGGTCCCATTTTAATAATCTGAACCGTTCAATATGCACAACTCGTCGAGTATTATATGCCTGTAAAAAATCACATTGATCGGATATCGATAGCTATATGATCGAATTAGTTTTGTTCAACAATTAACTATCACACCATCCATTATGTTTATACAAAACTGATTTGATCATATAGTTAACGATATCTGATCAACGTGATTTTTTACAGGCATATATCACTCGACGAGTTCTACATATTGAACGGTTTAGATTATTAAAATGGGACCCATGATGGCCCCTACAGACCGACCATAACTGTCCAAAAGTTATTTGCCCCGAAAGAGGCAATTTTTTTTTGCCCCAAGAGAAGTGTATGATGGCCTGCTTAACGGCTGTGACGTTGTCAGTGGATTTATATTATAAAAATATATAAAATATTTTTTTAATATTTTTTATTTGTGAATAGTAATACCTTTTTTGCTTTTTGTTTAACTTTTTGACTTTTTAGATTATATTTGACTTGCCAAACTTGGCCTTAATCTAGTGCATGTAAGCTGCCCCGGATACCCTACATATCCAAAAAAAATTAAAGGATTCCAGGGCCAAGGATGAGACATACTCAGCCAAGGGTGCTAGTTGACCATTGTTATAATATATATATATATATATATACATATATATTATATAACTTTCATTTGGAATTTTGGCCTAAATTCCTTACTCCTTGATACTCAATCGAATCCTCTTTTTTGACAATTGAATGCTCGACTATACTCTATAGTCACATATTTAGAAATTCCTGAACTCTTTCTTCTGTATCATCCTAAGAAGCACGAACACGGATACAAATGCGGACATAAACACGGACACGAGACAAGGAGATTTCAAAAAAATGGGGACACAGACATGGCGGGGACCAAACAAAAACCAAACCAAGCCGTAAGTCACATCAAATAGGGTCAGCTACATGAATCTCCACTTGACTCTATCAACAGCAGGGACAAGACATCAAAATATGTTTTCATATATTTCTATTTGCTATCTAAATTAATATTACGTCCACAAACAATCAATATTAACAAAAACTAACTCTAATTCTGTATATATATTTTAAAAACACTTTTAAATTAACACTTACAGTTTATATCTTTTTATGGATAATCTATTAAGTATTCAAATCTAAGAAAAAAATAATAAACATTCAATATTCATCAAAAACACTAAAGAAAATGGGAAAAAAGACAACTTGACATATCCCTAGTGTGTCCTCGAAGTGTTCCTAGCGTATCCCTTGAAAATAAATTAATTAAATAAGAGGGCATGCATGTGTCGTGTCCCATATGTCTCCGTCGTGTACCTGTGTCTGACATGGATACCGCACTGGTTTTAAAGTGTTGGTGCTTCATAGGTATCATATGATATTATGGTGACGATACAGACCAAAATTCCATTATGGTCCAATTCTGACAGCGTTTATCTCAACAAGAACAGTGTGTTCTGATGTGTAAGCAGGAGAGAAAAGATGTCATGATTAGGGTTTTGAACAAGATGACTTTTTCATTTTTTTCATATTGAAAAAGCAATAAGAATAATACAAAATTTTCAATTATGAGTTGGACGCTTTAACTATTCAGCCACAGATGCTTAGTGGGGATCCTTGTATATGGTGACCAAATCTCATCTCTCATTTTTTTTTTTTCTCTCTTCAAAACTTAGATCGTACATAACACAAATTCTCAACAAGAACAGTGTGTTCTGATGTGTAAGCAGGAGAGAAAAGATGTCATGATTAGGGTTTTGAACAAGATGACTTTTTCATTTTTTTCATATTGAAAAAGCAATAAGAATAATACAAAATTTTCAATTATGAGTTGGACGCTTTAACTATTCAGCCACAAATGCTTAGTGGGGATCCTTGTATATGGTGACCAAATCTCATCTCTCATTTTTTTTTTTTCTCTCTTCAAAACTTAGAATCGTACATAACACAAATATCTATTTAGTCAAATATGGTATTTTCTTCTAATTCATTCAAGATATTATGTGAATGAACCTACTGTTGAATCTAGTGTGTTAAAATTAACCTAAAGTAAAAAGATTTGCAATCCCCGTTCACATTTTTTCTTTTTTTCAGTACATCAGAAAGTAAAAGTCAAGTGAACAAACAGGGACTAAGCCCTCTCTCTGGGTAATCCTAACATATTAGCAACTAGCAAGCTTCGAATTTCTGCTGGGGATCATTCACAACAAGAAGATCCTTTGGTTGGTCAGCTGCAAACTTTGCCAATGCATCAGCACACACATTACCTTCTCTTGACACATGCTGGACAGTGCACTCAGATCCATTGAGAATGATCATAGATTCCTCAACAAGCCCTGCTAACGGGAACTTTTCCCTGGCCCTCCTTTTTCTCATGTCTGATCAGTAGTTTTCTTTTTCTTATCAATGAATAAATTTATTTACTTGTATGACTTAGATGTCTCGTATTTCTCAAAAAAAGAGATTTGATGCCCATTGAGGAAATTTCCCCATTGCCATAGGAGTCTAGGCCGTGTGTCAGTCCCAGTGTAGCTGATCATCCTCTTGGACCAGCTATTGATCATCCCCTTAGTAAGCTATTGCCTCACCAACTAGCTGATCAGATGAGCCCCTTGGGCGGATTGTGTATTGGGGGATCTAGAAATATTTTGTGATTAATGTATAAGAAAACCTTCTTTGAATTTGGCCAAGATCTTCGGAATTCATTTATTTCTCTTAGTGGTGGCTTACTTTGATATTTAATGCTCCAAACTCTTTACTCTTTTTTTTTTTTTTTTGGGGGGGGCTCAAATAAACTTGTTTTCAGAGAGTGTGAGTATTTTGTTTAGATCTCTATTTTTTTACCCATGTTGTACCAAATTCTGCTAATTCACTTGCCACTAGGTTTGTTCACAGGTCGGTTTGGCTCGGATTTCCGTTTCACCCGCCACCGACCGAACTACATGGTTTGAATAAATCATGAACCAATCCCAACCAAAGCTGCTATCAAAATCGACGGTGGATACAGTCAGTTTTGTGGGTCGGTTGCAGTTAGTTTCACATATCAGAGGTCAACTCCCCTTTCGCCAAAATCCAACACAAACTAACAAACATTGCACAATCATTTCCACCTTCTAACACTACACCACATCTCCACCAATACGAACTTGCAAAGTCTTAATCTTTGACAACACCAAATAAACGAATAAAAACTTGATTAGAGTGGGGGATAGATCTAAGGAGGGTGAGAAATAGAGGGATTGAAAGAAGTGGGGGAGAGAGAGAAGTCAATGCTGACCGCCGCCTATAGATGAGTTCTCCACCTCAGCCATTGTCGCCAGTGAGTAATTTTTTGCGGCTGAATGACAGTTTGTGAAGAGAGAGATGGTGGGGCCAAAAATCATAGATGCCTTTAAGAGAGAGAGAGAGAGAGAGGAGGGGGAAGGTTTTGATTGATTGGAAAGACAACTTGATAGACATCATCACGTGTTAGAGGACACTGTTAGTTGTATAAAATAGTACGGTGACAAGGTGTAATGTCAAGTGCAAATAGGAAGAAGCCACGTCTATTAGTTGATAGGGTGTTATATAACCTTCCAATAAAATGGA